AATAAAAAAAGGTTATAAAGATACAATCACTACGACTTGGAATTAGACTGGATATGCAGGATGAGAGAGGGTAAAAATGGCACCTTGGTTGTGAGTTTGAGGAGCTGGGAGAGTTGGGGCATCAAAGAAAAGAGGGTACTCAACAGTGTCCAAAAGGTCAAGAAGGCTGAGGATTGAGAAAAGACCATTTGATCTGGCAATTAAGACATCTTTGGTGACTTTGGGGTGAATGATGAGCTCAGAAGCCAGATGGTAGAGAGTTAAGAAGAAAGTGAGAGGAAAAGAAGTGAAAGTATCCATTATAGACACTATTCTCATGACCACAAAAGGAAGGCTATGTATTCAATGAAAGCTAAATGCTTTCCAACGGAGTTTTTTTGAAGACGGGGAAGAGTGGGCAGGCTTGGAAGTAGCAGAAAGGGAGAGATTGAAGATAAATAAAAGAGTAGGAATTATTGAGAATGTCAGTCAGCTGGGGAAACTGGGATGGGATAGGATTTCTAGTGTGTGTGAGGGGTTTTCCTTAGCAAGGAGAAGGGCACATCATTGTAGGATATGAATAAAGGTGGAGATAAGTAGAAGGCATCTGGGAGATGTGAGCTGAGGAGGGGAGAAGAAAAAGCTCTTGGGAAATGGCCTCAGTTTGTTTTTCTGTAAACTACAAGACAAAGTTCTCAGCCAAGAAGGTGGGAGGAAGGGGAGCCATGGGAACTTTGAGGAAGGATGAGCACGGTGGGAAAAGCCACTGTGGAGAGTTCATTGGGGAGGTATAAAATGTTTGTCTTGCTTCAGGGAGGGAGATGACATACATCATGTGTGTAGTGGGCCCATTCAGCATGACTGTAATTTCCTCCAGATCCATTCAGCATCAGGAGGAGTGAAACAAGTACATGGTGAGAGTACCCAAGGCATAATCAGTAATATGATTAGGGGGAGAGGGTTTGAAGAGGAGAGTGTTGACCGAAACCAGCTCAGCAAGGGGTCAGGATGGGGAGGCAAGAAGAGTCCACGGCAGTGAAGGGGTGATGGTCTGGGACAGAACTAGGGCTTGGAGGTGCTGAAAGCCCTGCTGAGGACCAAACCATTTCAGCTGCAGGCAGAGGGAGAGGTAGAGAGACAGATCGTTATTAGATAAGGAGATTTCAGAGTTTCTGAATAAAGAAGCGGAGCATTTGGGGGTGATGGAAAGACCAAGAACACCACCACACCTATGTGCAGCTGAGTTGGGGTCGAGCAGCTCATCAAGGGAAATGAGTAAGCTGAAGATCTGGGAGGGGAGGGGATCGGAGGCAGCAGCAAGGTATACACTGAGGTGCCCTAGAATGGGGGCAGGGGTAGGAGGAGAGGGAAAGAAGATGATTGGGCACACAGTCCTGGAGGCTGGCAGACAAAAGCTATCAGAATCCCGACTGAGTGGTTGATATGGATTGAATGAACCTCCAAGGAGTGATGGTGATGATGATGATGTAAAGATTGCAACAATGAAAGGAAACAGACATTAATTGAGTGCTTATTATGTGATGCAATCACATGTAATCCTCACAAACAACTCTGGGAGGTAGGTGCTATTGTGAACTCCATTTTACAGTTGAGTAAAATGAGGCAGACAGGTTAAGTGACTTGCCCAAGGTCACCCAGCTAATAAGTGTCTAAGTCTGGATTTGAATTCAGGTCTTGAAGGACAGGTCACATTTAGAAAGGCAGGGGAAGGAGGAAGAACGTTTACAGTGGAGGGAACAATGTGGCCAGAGCCGAGAGATGGGAACGAAGCCAGAAAGGACTATGAGAGGAGGCCTTGCACCACTGACTTGGCTGGGAATGAGCGATCTCAAAGGCCGGTGAGCCCTCATTTTCATGTTGCTTCAACTCAAGTTGTCTGGGGAAGAGCTGGACCCAGACGCTCTCTGCTCAGCCTCCACTGAGCCTCTGTCCCCAAATCCTTTGTCCTCACTGCCTGACCAGCCCAGGGGAAAGACAGCATCAGGTATACCTGGTCCTTTGAACTGTATCCGGTTTCTTTCTCTGGTGGGCCTTCTAGGGCTATTCCTTCACCTCTCTGAGCCACGCAACTGCCCGGAACTACCATCTAACTCATAGCCAGGTTGGGTTGTGAGGGTGTTCAGGGAATAAGTTCTCCCAAAGGGAGGTCCCCTTCCCAACATCAGGGCTCCTTTCTGTATGTGCACAATGCTTGTCTACACGGTTGCCTCATTTGCCAGCAAGGCTCCGGGGTGGGAATAATAGTACAGAGAGTTCTTGGTCCACAGAGGGAATTCAGAGCATGAAGACTCCACCATGGACATTCAGCCAGCCCCAAGCAGATGCTGGATAACTATTTGTCAAGAATGCTATTGAGGAAGTGGGGGGGAGGGTCCTTGCCAGGCTCGGGTGGGAGGAGTTGGCTGTGGAGGTCCCTCCCCTTCTGGTGAAGTCTGGTATGAGGTTCTAGGTCTGGTATAGGTGATACCACGGTGACCTCCTCTTCCTCCTCCTGGGAATTTTCAGTGATCAATCTCTCTTCTTCTCTGTAGGGGCCATGGCCAAATCTGGAGGCTCGTTCAGAGGTGTAGATGGGGTCAGGGTACAGAAGCCAAAGATTTGGACAAGAATGCTAAAGGGAAGGGGGGAGAAGAGCTTGAACACCAATGACTAGGCTTGGCAAGAGGACGAGAAGCTAGATGTTAAGGGTTGTTAAGGGGTCCCCTGAACTTGTCTTTTTGAGTTGCCATATTTTCCAGAAACACTGGACGCAGTCCACGCAGGCGGCCCTGAATGTATCAAGGCTGAAGCCCCCAGCCCCCAGCTGACATAATTTGCTGTTGCACCCCAAGCTGGACTCCCTGTGTGTCCCTGGGTCTGTGCCAGGCTGGAATAATGCTTGTGCAGTTGGGGTCCTTTGCAGATAAGTGGACCCTCCATCTTCCTAGTCTAGCAGTTCCCAAGGGAAAAGAATGGGGCTTTTGCCATTGCTTTACTCCTCCCCTTTCCCTCCTGGGCCATGCCCCTTCCTGTTTTCTCCTCTTCCTCCTGTTATGCTGTCTTAAATATGCAGACTTCTGTAAGGACTGAGAACCCTTTGGGTTCCATATGCATGTTCATCTCTCTTGAAATAAACAAGGAAGGGAAAAAAAGGCATCATCAGAGAACTGACCAGGAAAATACCATGGCATGGATACCAAGGGAGGAGAGGGCTTCAGCAGGGGCTTTCTGGTCAATGATATCAAGACCTTTGACAGGAAGCTCTGTGAGGGCTGGAACCATGGCTTATATCATGCATTTCTCTCTCCCTAACCAGAAGAGTGCTTTACATACAATAAGAATTTAACACTTTCTTAAATGACCCCCCATTAAATAGGGAGCTCTTTGAGGGCAGAGCCTGACATTTGTCTTTCTCTGTATCCCCAGTGTTTAACACAGTGCTGGACACATAGTAGGTGCTTAATCAAAGCTTGTTGACCGAATGACTAGACAGAAGGTGCTCTTTCTATAAAGAATGAGTTTTGCAGTGATAGTGAAGGCAAAATCACTGAGGGACAAGGGGTGAGTGAGAATGAAAGTCAAGCCTTTAGTGCTGACATCATTAGCATTATAGCCCCTGGCAAATTAAGCTCAAATTTCAATTTACCAAATCAAAATGCATGCTTCCAAAAATAATAATTAAATCATCAAACTAAAGAGACTCCACAGAGCACAGTGGCTAGCAGGAGGGAGCTGTATTCAGTTAGATTCTGGCCTGGAATCTCATCTGTGACATATCCTAATTTAGTGAGACCCCTTAGAGAAGATTTTGGACCTCCCAGAGACTCAGTTTTCTCATCTATAAAATGTGGACAGTAGCAGCTTGAATACCTTCATAATATATGTAAAGTATTATGTATATATTTTGTAATGTGCTATATAAATATCAGCTAATTTTATTTTCTTCCTCTCTCTCCTCATACAGCAACAGGGGCAGGCCCCTAAAAGGTCAGAAGTAAAAACAATATAATTCCAAAGATGAGGGTGGCTACAGGATAGGAGGAATCAGAGGTGAGGAATCAGAGATAAAAAGATAGAGCCATTCGAAAGGTCATAAAAAAGAAATTCCAAAGTTCCAAAGTATTATCTCTTCTTCAAAATCAGGATGAATACCAAAACCAACAACCACATTTGTATCTTTGTGTTAGCAATTCCCTCTTAATCACCCGTAATTGAGAATAATAAAAAGCCTGTTTTTTTTTACAATAATTTGAGGATAATTCCAAGTATAAACATAACTGGGAATTGAGTAATAGTTTAAAATGTGTGAAGAAAATATATTTATCTTTAAAACACACTTCATTGCATTCTAAAATGTATGTCATGGTGTGCTGTTCCCATTATCCTTTGTGTGTGTCTAGCAAATCTCTGAGAATCCACACCCCACCCCCTGCCCACACCACCCTCAGAGCCATATCTGTGTTGACTTAGCTGAGACGGTTCCCTCTATTGTTTTCTCTTCACAATAATGGGACCAAAGCCCCCTTTAGGCTTGGGACAGATGCCAGCCCGCCAACCACACACGTACAGAGAAGCCATGGGAGCGATATTACTCAGAAAACCTGTCTACACTGACTTCTGTCAACAACAAAGACTCAAATACATTTGGAGAGCTACGTGTGAAACCTGTGGGGGCCGAGAGAGCGGCTGTTCCAGGAAGTGAAGCTTGAAGCCAACTTGGATCAGCTTTTGCACAGAGAAGTGGCCTTTCGGGCCTCAGGAAGTTTGGCCTACCTGTTCCCCGGGAGCAGCTCCAATGCAGCTCCACCATGTTCAGGAATCAATTTGCTCAACCATAAAATGAGGGGACCTCAGAGGAGCCTCACACCACTCAACCCTTCACCTGCCCTCACTCATCTAGGAAATGCCCCACTGAGCAGACCCACGGGCCACCCTAGTGAGTGTTACTGCCCCACATTCTCCAGTGCCCAGGGGGCCACCAGGGCACCCGCCTGCCCACAATCGCTGTTCATTCTACTCACTGTTATCTGACACCAAACACAGTGAAGTCCAGTCAGGCCTTGGTAGCATTTGACATTTTTATGACACTTGTCACACTTGGTTGGGCAGTTACCTTCAACCCAGTAATGGTGCATGACCTGGGAAGGAACAATAGGGGCAAGAATAAGCTGATGTTGACCCAGGAATGGTGCATGACCTAGAGTCAAACAATGGGCAGGGGTTGTAAGACAGTAAGCCCCACCAGTCTTTGACCCGGTGATGGTGTGTGACCCAGGAGGGAACGAGACAGGTAGGAATCAGATGGCAAACCTTGCTTTGTCATTGGCCCAGGAATGGTGCATGGATTAGGATGGGACAGTAGGGACAAGATAGGGACAATGAACCCTGAGATTGACCCAGTAACGAGGCATGACTGAGGGTGGAACTAGATGAGCAGGAACAATACGGCAGGTGGTGCCCGGCCATCCTCAAGAAGCCAAGGCAGAGGGGCAGCTAGGTGGTGCAGTGGATAGAGCACTGGCCCTGAAGTCAGGAGGACCTGAGTTCAAATCTGGCCTCAGACCAAACACTTGACATATCCTAGCTGTGTGACCCTGGGCAAGTCACTTAACCCCAATTGCCTAAAAGTTAAAAAAAATAAAAAAGAAGCCAAGGCAGACGCAACACTCACATCCGTGTTCTTTTTGGACTTCACATAGGTCTTGATGCAAGATGGAGGCGCTCTTGCCACACAGCGCTCATGGACTGTGTACTTGCAAACTGAAAGGAAGCACACAGATAAAGCCCGATTACTCCTCCTCCTGCTTGTGTTTTTCTAGGGAAAAGATGGCCTTAGCAGGGCCTCCTCATTCCATCCCCATCCCCATCTAATCAATTCAATCAGTCTCAGCAGGGACAAGCTAAAGGAGACTGGTTTTTGCCATGAGATACAAAAGACCAATTAGCACAGGAAATATTCTGCATGGGAAAAGCCACGATGACTCCATCATGGCATAGCAGGAAATGCTTAATTAAATCAGTCCTCACGAAAATTTTTCACAATAACTCTCAAATGACTAAAATATTAAAGAAAAATTGATGACCGCCAAATGGCTCAGTGTCATCTGCTCATCAGAAGAAAATCTACATTTTACAAACCATGGGCTAGGGTAGCAGCTGGCCAGCTTGGGAATCAGACCCCAGAAGTCGCTGCTAAGCCGTGCATTGATTTATTCCAACCTTAAATGGCTGGGTTTTCTCTCCCCCACCACTTCCCCCAGAGAGCAGTGTGTATCCTTCAGGACAAGCCAATACGAGCTCTAACCCTGTCTCTCCAGACAACATTTTCCTTTGCTAAATCACGTCTTGTTTGATAAACTTGTCTGAATAACAAAGGAAAAAATATATGAAGAGAATGAGAATGTCAGGAAAATAATCAAATGTTTATGACTCACCAACATCCCTAATTCCTTTGTATGTTTACATTCTTAAAGAAATTTACTTTAATACAAATATATTCATGTGATAAAATAAAGTTACTGTGTCTAACACTGAAAATATGAAAATATGGGAGAGGGGGACTCCAATTAAACCTAAGATGGAAAAACAGTATATTACAAAGGAAAGACTCCTAAACTTGTGACCAAAGATCCTAGACTGAAAACCTGCCTTTTCTGTCTGCTGTCTAAATGACGTGGGGCAGGTCAATTCCCATTTCCACGTGGGCAATAAGGAGGGGATGGAATTAGATGACCAAAGGCCTCCTCCACCTCAAATGTTATGACCCCTGATTGCTTTTTTTCCATTATAGATGGACTGTTCAAGCAGCCAACGGCATCATTCCAAGCCATATTTCTTATGTTTTCAAGATATTTTAGCCAAAGGATTCACTTATATGATTCTATTATCTTTCTCAGAGAAAAACTGCACAGATGTTCTCTGCAGCAGAGCCCCAGACCCCAGAGCAGAGGACCTGATTTCAGATCCTGCCTCTGGTATCACTTCCACTGCGGTCTTGCGCAAGCCATTTACCCACCTGGGCCTCAGTTTCTTCATCTGTAAAATGAGGGGGTTGGAGTAAGCTCCTTCCCATTTAGATCTTGGATCTTATGAACTTTAGTAACCGCTGAGTTCAACCCACCCATCCACACCCACACACACATGCACGCATACACACACACACACACACACACACACACTTATAAAGTATTCAATCCTCCTGCTTGGCTCTAAGGCCTCCGATGAGGGGAAATCTACTCGCCTCTCTGTGCCATATTGGGATGGCTCAAACGGGTAGGAAGCTTCTCCTAACACTGAGCTCCAAATCTGCCCCTTTTGAACTGCCACCCGTTGTTCCTGTTCCTGTCCTGTGGGGCCAAGCAGAATAAAGTCCCTCCTCCACAGGACAGCCCTTTAAATTCTGAAAGACATGATCGTGCCTCCCCTCCCATGCTCTGAACCTTCTCTTCTCCCTACTCAACACCCCCATTTTCTTTAACCAATGCTCAGATGGTATGGGCTCAAAGCCCTTTTTCATTCTGCCCTCCACAGATATTCCCTAACTTCTCCATACCCCGAAAGTGAGGCCCACAGAAATGACCCCACTCCATATGTCCTCATATCAGGGTAGGTACAGTGGTATCACTACCTCCTCCTTTCCTGTCTCAATGCAGCCAGAGAGCTCAGTCATTTTTGAACTATTACATCACATTGCTGATTAATGTGAAATCACAATCCACTAAAACCCTGAGATGTTTCTTGAGATAAACTGCTGTCTCATTATGCCTCCCTCGCCTTGCGCTTGTGAAGTCAATTTCTTGAACCCAAATGCAAGACATTCTGTTTTTCTTTATCGAAACCACCTTATTAGATTCATCCCACCATCATCAGCTGGCAAACTCTTTTTATACCCTTATTCTGTAACTTAATATTCTAGCTTTCCCTCCTGGCTTGGTGTCATCTGAACAGTGGATGAGCAAGCTACCTCCTGGAGGTCTGTCTCCAAGCTATTGATGAAAATGTGAAACAGCAGAGGGCCAAGAACAGAACCCTGGGATGCTCTGCTGGAGGCCACCTTCAGAACTGACATCAAGTCATTAATGAATAAATTCTTTTTGAGTCAGATCAGACAAACAGCTCCAAATACCGCTCATTAGATTTGCATATGGCCCACATTTCTCTCTTCTTGCCACCAAAATACTATGAGATACTTTATTGAATGCTTTGTTAAAATCTAAGTTAAATCTAATCTAATTTAAAGTCTAAGTAAACTACATATAGAATTCTCATGAGCTAGACCTTTGAAAATTTCTCAAAAATAAAATGAATGGAGCATGGGCTATCCTTGATGAAGCTATAAAGGTTCTCAATGATCATTGCTTCCTTTTCTAGGGGTTCACAAACCGGCCCCATCGAGGCTTGGTAGAGGTGGCCCCAGTTAAGCAAGATGATCAGAAGACATGGTGGTCAATGTCCTCAAGCTAAGGCATTGGCCCATCCATTGCAAAGCCCACCCATTGCCAGATCTTTTGAAGGTCTCAGGGTTTTTTATCTCCTTATGTTGCCAGATAGGTTACACAAATAATTCCATTCTTCATTAATTCTGATTCAAACAGATTCTTTATGCACATGAAAGAATTTTTTTTTTTTACCTATCCAGCAACCCATAGGATGCTCCCCATAAACCAACTCGACCACTCTACTCTCCAGGTATGGGATATGTAACAATTAAATAGAGTATGATCCCAGTCCTCAGGGTTTATCAGCCAGTCAGGGATGGGTGTAAGTGAGACACAAGGACAAATCTAAGCTACAATCCAAAGGGGAAATGAGGGCAAAGGTTAACCTTCTCTGGACACCAAAGAATTTTACCACTGGGCTCTCTGTTCAGTTATACATTGGACTCAATGTGCTCTGAGTCCTTCCCAACTCAGATTCTGTGAGTCTGTGGAATGAAGGAGCATTTCACTATCCCCTGCCTGATGTGAAGACAATAGGAAGGAAGGAAGGAAGGAAGGAAGGAAGGAAGGAAGGAAGGAAGGAAGGAAGGAAGGAAGGAGGGAGGGAAGGAAGGAAGGAAGCTAGGAAGGAAGGAAATAAAAATGGCAATACTTAGGTTTTGTGAAATAATTTCCATCTGCAGCCCTGTTCATAACAGACATTTCACAGTATCTCAGAGAAGGAAAAGTCCTGAAAGACCACCTAGTGTGATTCACAGGAGAACCAGAATCCTCTTTACAAAGCCCCTACAAGTGACCACCCGCCCTTCAAACATTTTATACATATTTGTGGGACTGAAAAGAATCAAGGGACAGCGAGCACTTGGGGTTCTGAAGCTCACAACTCTAAATATCAGCCTCCGGGTTCCTACTCAAGGTCACCTGGATCCATTCACGTCAGTTTCACAACATGTTGGCTCTTCGTTAGGTGTTGACTCTCAGCTTCCTACCCTCTATTTGTTTTCATTTCTGACTGGAGGAGTAGATGTGGCTACAGTGGAAATGGAAAGGGAAGGGTAGAGGCTGTGTGTGTGCTTGGTGTGTATGATCACATAATCAGCGCTAAAAGAGTGCACTGAAGCCATGGTGTAGAGAAGGGGGAGGAAGAAAGACGACTTAACCAGAGGCAGAAGTAACAACCGTCTGCTTTGGCAATGGATAGATTCTGATGCGGGGTAGGAGGGAGGGCATGGAAGTGTTCCATGTGAGCAGGGGTCAAAGTAACCAGGATAGATACAAGAAGGGAAAGAGGCTTTGCTACCCTCACGACACCCTGAAGGAGAGCTGAAACCCAGAGAGGCAAGGCCCTTAGTGCAAACGAAAGATGAAATGCTTCTTTATGGAAAGTGAGCGGTTTCAGGCTAACTTTGGACATTCCTCCCAAAGCAGGAAGGAGAGCCATGGACAAGGAGTAAGAGCAGAAGACTGGAGAGGCTCAAGCCGAGGAACCAAGAGAATGCCACTTGGAACCGAATTAATGTTTAATGAGAGAAAATACTCAGGACTTCTGGTCTCCTTCAATCACGTAAGCCTTTTCATTATCCTTTTTATGTGGTTCTGAGTGACCCATAGATACCTTTCTTTATTAATTGATATTTATTTAAGAAAATAAAGGAGACTAGGGGCACGTACATAAAGAACTAAACAGAACAGATGCTCTCAATTCCCACAGCTCCAACCTTAGTTTGGTGGCAGAGAGCAGAATTATAAGCTTCCACCAATCAATCAATAAAAATGTATTAAGTACCTACTATGTGCCAGGAATATCACAAAACAAGTAAACCTCCACAGCTGTAGGTTTAGGCCAATTTAATTCAGGTGAAATCAACTGACCAAGTCACCAATTGTCCATCATGAGCAAAGCCCCTGCTAGGTCCTGGTGAAGGATGGCAACAGAGGGTCCAGGGCCAGGGAGGTGACATCCACTCCATGAGGTCCAGGTTAAACAGCACCAGTAGCATTAGATTCATTTCCAGGCTCTATATTTTAGGAAGAATGATGGTAAGCTAAAAAGCAAAGGACCACAGGAGGTCAACCAGACTGAGAAGGGTCTGGAGCTCCCACCATGAGGATCGACTAAAGGAACTGGGACACTGATATTGAATTAGAAGAGGAGCCTGTGTGTAGGGGGTGTGTGATAGTGGGCTTCAAGTAGTGGATGGCTACTTTGTGAGAGAAGGGGCAGTGCGAGGGAATTACAAAGAGGGAACTTGACACTCAGGAGAATCTTTCAAGGAAAGAGGAGCCAGTGGACTTGGGAAGGAGTGGGTGCACGCTCACGGGAAGCTTTCTTGCCAAAGCTGGATAAGCCCATGTGGAGTAAGACAGAAGATTCCTGTTCAGGTAGAGAGGTTGGAAGAGGCAACCACCGAGGCTCCTTCCAACTCTCAGACTGGATCATTTTGTATTTGGAGTCAGAAGAACTGGCTTTAAACCCAGACTGGCAATTCATTACCACTGTGACCTTGGGGAAACTATCTTACACTGAGAGCAAACTTTGAAGATCGCCAGGTACTTAATATATGTTATCTCTTTGGATTCCCACACAGCCTTGGGAGGCAGGTGCTACAATTATCCCCCTTTTAGAATTGAGGTTAAGCGACTGACCCAGGGGCAGATATCTGGTGTGCGTACAAGGCTAGATCTGAACTCAGGTCTTCCTGGCTCCTCTTTCCCTTGTACCACCAACTGCCACCAGTCTCTACTTGATACTCAAAGCCTTAGTTTCCTTCTCTGTGAGATTAGGAAATTAGACTAAATTATATATTTATTCTTTTGAATCTAAATCTGGGAACCAACATATACAAGTTTAACAGGTTTGAATGTAAAGGATGCTATTTTTTCCATAAAAAATATAATGAATAAATAGACTTAAGATACACCTGAGAAGAATTTTGTGAACTTATGCAGAGCAAAGAAAACCAAATCAGGAGAACAATTTATACAGGGATCACAAGAGTTTGAAAGGAAGCAATATGGAAAGGCTTCCAGATTCTAACCAAGGCAACAATCATGACTTCAAGACCTGACAGTAAAGTGTCTTCTGGTCTCCTGGTGAAGAGGTGGGGGAGTAGAGGTGAAGAATGGGGCACACAATTGTAAGCATGCCCAATGCCATGACTTGTTTTGCTTTTCTTCATTTCTTTGTAGCAAGGAGTAGTTCTCTTCCCCGGAGGGGAAGGGAAAGGACTTATTGGGGAAAGACAACAATGTGAAATCCATAAAAAGGTCAATTAGCTATTAAAAAATAGGATTAAAGTTTATATATATATATATATATATATATATATATATATATATATATTATATGTATATATTAATCATAGCAACTCATGAAACCCTCTACACTAAAGCTCACAGGACTGTAATTGTCGCAAGTACAAGAGGTATCCAACTGAGGGAAGCAGCCATCATTGAAACATTGAAGAAGAATCACTTCCCTTTTGCTTCTGGCACACCTAAGTGGAGCTGCACAAAACCCTGCATTGACAAAAGCTCTTGGAAGTCAGATACTTCTCACAGCTCATGGATTGTTGATTCTTTGCATCCTTCCTGTGACATCTACACTTTTCTGCCTAAGAGAAAGCATTTTCAATGACTACACCTCGAGCCTTATTTGGGGGTAATGTTTCTTTACAACAATTCATAACAGCAAGGAGGAATTCAGCATTCTACCCATGAGGCCATCCTACCTCTCCCATGACCATGTCTTCCTAGTCCCATATATAGTTGCATTTTAAATTTTTTTCTATACAAATGATAATGAAAAGATATTTTTTTTTTAAAGAGAAAGATGGTTTGCAAATACCAGCAAGGGGTTAAAAAATAACACAAAGCCAACCCAGCCTATGCAAGGTCTACCTCATGAGCAGTTAGTGGAAGTCACCTAGACGTTCCCACGGGAGGTAACAGGTGTAGTAGGGAATGAGTGAAGATGTTCGTGAGAACATTAACTGGCTGCCAGCAGAACACCTTCTTCTGACACACCTCCAGGGCAAAGGCAGCTGTTCCAACACTCAAGAAAGGGGAATCCTGGCCTGGCCTCCACTCTCCTGTCTAACTTGGGCCAGGGCCGGCTGGGCTGCAGGGGCGGATTCTCAGCACAAGAGCTTAAGCCTTAGGAGGGTCCTTATTGTACAGATGAGCAAATGACTGGGACTTGACTTGCTCAAGCCCACCCTGGTGGAAAGGGTGAGCCAGGGCTGAGGAGGCGGCCAAAGACCCCGTCCATACACTTATCCCCGGACTCACAGGAGCAGCACAGGCCCTGCTTCCCCACACCGATGAGCATGTTCAAGCAAAGATTGCAGTAGGCTGGCTTGTTAAAATGCTTCAGTCGCCAAACGTGCTGTCCATCATCCTTCACATTCTGTATGGGGCAGAAAAGAAACAGATTTCACTTAAAGAATTATATACAAGTGCCAATAAAATTCTGAGCCTGACTGAAGCAAGCACCAGCAGACAGTGTGCTCCTGTGCTGGCTTTAGAAAAACATGCGGGAGGGATGTCACACGGCAAGGGGAGCTTTGTCATCTCCCTGGCTCCAGGCAGCGAGCTGGCTCTCTCATGGTGGGACGAGTGGCCCTGGATGTCTCAGAGCAGCTCACGAGGGGAGAGCGGGGGAAGGAAGGGATCACCCCAAGTCCTGGCTTATCCTCAGGTCTGCCATGATCCTTCCCTGCTATGTAAACAGGGACCACCAGGCATCTATCTCAGGAGTGTTTGTGGGAAAGAAGGAAGACAGATCTCTTCCACGTGGAAAATGCTATATGACTTCAAACAATCACAAAGAATTCAATTCAGCATGAATTTTTATGTGCTGCTGTACACAAGGCATTGCGCCAGACACTGAGGTACTGACACATACCAAGAGCAAGCCCTGCCCTCAAGGAACTTACACTCCATGGGATGGATACAACCAGTGCAGAGATACATAAATACACACTAAGTTGATAAGTTTCAGACCCCTAATAACTAGGGAGATCGGAAAAGAATTTCTCTAGTAGGTGATGACTGATTCTAAGTGATCTGGTGGGAAGAACATTGCTTTTGCAATTAAAACACCCAAATGCAAATCTTATTTAACACAGTAGTTACCTTGGGCCACTCACTGTACTTTTCTGTGCCTGTTTCCTCACCTGCAAAATGAACTAGGTAACCTCTAAATTTCCCTTCTAGTTCTAAATCTGCAATTATAAGATGAGGTTAGAGGGGAGTACGGAGTCAGGCTGGGCAATGTTTCAGCAGCAAGAGATGGGATACTGTAGTAGGGAAACCACAAGTCATTCCATTTGGCTGAAGGGTACCATGTGTAAAGGGGAGCCATGGGGAATAAATGTGGCAGTGTTGTCTGGAACAAGACTGGCAAGGACTTCAAATGAGGGGAGGAATGTGCATTTTATTCTAGAGTTAGAGGAGAACCTCTGATGATTCTTGAGCAGAGGAATGATGTGGACAGACCATATTTTAGGAAGGTTATTTTTACAGCTATGTGGAGAAAGATAGGAGAGAGAATAACTGGAAACAGTGAGAGCAATTTGGGGGTGGTTCCATTAGTTTGGGTAAGAGGTAAATAGGTAATAGGGATGGGGTTTCTAGTGAATGCAGAGAAAAGAGCAGATGTGGGAGGTGAGTGAATAAAGGAGCTAGAACCCCAAAGATAGACAACTGATTGAATACGAAATCCATTTGAAATCCAGATTAAATAGCAACTGTAAAGGAAATAATGATTTGCAAAAATGTGTCTATTTTGTTTCCCAAGCTGAAAAACAATAAGCTAGGATTAAATGACTTTTAAAGTATCAGGGAATGCCATTGCTATAAAGGAAACTGAAGATGTGACACATTTGAATCTGCGTAAGAGGAAGCATTTTCAATCGTCCCTGCCTTCCTTGGGCTGTTCTGATCATTAGCACAGTGATGGCTGACACGTGTATGTTACTTATGAAATTGGCAAAGCACGTCCAATCTATTATCTCATCTGAGTCTCTCAGGGGACCCTTTGGGTGGTAGCTGCAGGTGTTGTCCTTCCCTCATTTATGAATACACAAACATGCTCAGAAAAGGTGAAGCAACCTCTAATGAGGGTCAGAGTGAGAATTCAAACCCAGAGGTTCATGACTCCAGCTCACGTGCTCTGTTCTCACTGGTACACTGGCCCACAGAGTCCAATGTGAAGAAGATATTCACTAGGGCAGGCACTGAGGCAGTGTGGAACAACAGAAAGGTCTCTGGTTATGGAGCCAGAGGACCGGGTTCCAATCTTGCCTGTTCCACTTGCTACCTGGTCAAGTAATCCCTCCGGGCCTTAGTTCCTCACTTGTTAAAATGAAGACATTGGATCAGATGGTCCCTTTTGGCTCTAAATCTATTATCCAATGAACCCCAAGCTGTTGCTACTCGTACCCATGCAATGGGTACATTAAGTTTCTGGCTTTTTTAGTAGGAATGTGACTAAAACCAAAGAGAAGAATGATGTCAGGCATTCATGGAGGTGCATCCCAGAGTGTGACAAGGAGAGCTTGGCTACTGTCCTTCCTTCTCAGAACTCAAAGCTAAAGGACTTTATAGATAGTAGCCACACAACCAGACCATTCCAGTATGTAGCAGAAGGCAATGAACAGTGGTGCGATGGTTGAATACAAATAGGATGGACAAGGGATGCTGTTTTAAGAGTTGGCCAACCTCAGTTGAATTGGCATGAATCTTCTCACTAGCCACTCAATGCCACATTTTCCAATGACAGTTGATCAAATATGTTAGAAATTAATGCAATTAACAGCTGATCTAGGATTAAACCATCTTGCATTTAGTTGTAGAAGGGAATTTGCGGTACAGTTATCTAATCCTCTCATTGTGCAGATGAGGCACAGAAAAGTGAGGTCACTGGAAGCAGCTCTTCTAATTCTAAACCCAGAAATCTTTGCTTATTGAGACCCAGCACAGTGTCATGGAGAGGATGCTAGAAGGCCAGGAGACTCCAACTTCAGAACTGACATCTGACTCTTTCTAGCTGTGTGACTCTGGCCAAATTATTTTATCTGTGTGAACCTCAACGTCAGCATGTGTAAAATGGAGATAATGCTCTTGGGTGGTTGAGGTCCAAATACTATCAAGTACATGTATGTATATATGTATGTACACACACACACATACACACACATATGATACTATATAAATGTGAACATGTATGGTTATTGTCTTGGTCTTTGGTCAATCACCTTTGAACACCTTCTTCCCCCTTCTCAGCAATGACATTCATCTTATCTATGTCTTGTAGAAGGGTTAGTAGGGAAAATGAAAGAACACACGTGCGCGCGCACAGGCACACACACACACACACACACACACACACACACACACACACACACCCCTCAATTTCCCCCTCTTTGGATGACTCATAACCTTGTCCAGCCCTCCTATTTCTAGAGTCCACCAGGATTGGTCCCAGCATAGCTTGGAGGCAAGAGGACCCTCGAGTCCTGATTAAAAAACAAGCACACCAGCTCCCACCTCACTGAGAAACAAGGCTGCAGGCTGCCTCACTGCAGAGGGAGAGAAGTCATTCTGCAGGTGACATTGGGAAACCATCAAAGAACAAACATGGCCCTTCTCCAGGCTTTCTGGAACCTTCTGAAATAGCCTCAGCAGCTATTTCTGGAGCCTGTTGCGTCTTTATTCAGTCCTCGGATTTCTAGCACTTTTATATCTTGAACGAGGCTGCCAGCAGATTTCATTACCATCCACGTACTTTTTTCCACTGATTATATTTCTGAGGAAAATCTCTCCCATAAGAAACATTTTAAACAATGTAAAACCTACTGGGAGGAGATTGTTTTGTTTTTTTTTTTTTTCTGATATGTGTCTACATAAACTTAAAAAGAAACTTTATGGGCAATAAAAACAAAAACACAAAAAACATTGCTTTTTAAAAATGAAATGAAGGTGGCAGGTAATCTCTGTCACTATGTCCCTTTCTCCTGTATCACTTGTATTTGAATTTTAAGAGCGGATGGCCATTCCATGGGCGTATACCTCAGCTGGGTGAATTTGGCACATATGGCTTGCTTAACTGGCATTTCCCTCATCAACAAAACAAAAAAGTCTTAATGTGGGAGTTCTGTCAATCAGAACCCTCAGCCTTGTGGCAGGAGCAGCCAAGCTACAAAGCCACTTCACAAATATCATCCACTTATCTAAAATATCAAACTCAGTGTCTTACAAAGACTCTGTAAGGGAGCCTCCCCAAATTCAGCTACAAGAACAATAAAGCTAATGGTCACACACACACACAAAACATATGTGTGTATAACACTGTAAGGTCAAAAAAATCCTTAACACACATGATCTAAATTGATCTTTATAACTGTCCTACAAGGTAGATATTATTGTTATCCTCATTTTACAGATGAGGAAACTGAGACTCAGGAAAACTGAAGTAACTTTTTCAGAACATATATGCAACAAATGGCTGAGGTGGGATTTAAACTCATGCCTTCTTGACTTCAAGTTAGTGTTCTATCTACTAGGAAACATTGCCCCCCCCCAACCTACTTTTGGGAGAAGAAATGTAATAAAGCAGAAAGAGCCCTGGTTTTGTGGACAGAATATCCAGTGCAGCCTCTGACTACCTGTGTGACCTTGAGCAAGTCATTTAATTCCTTTGAGGTCACTTGTCTGATCTGTAAAATGTCTGGCCATTTCCCTTCCAGCTCTAGATCCATGGTCCTGAGAATGTAGATGCTGTTTCTTTTGAAGGAGAATATTGAGGGCAGAATCTGGTGACTTCTTGGGAGCATCAATTATCCATCACCTCCTAAGGTGTGCATGCCTTATTTTGGTTACCTTCTTTAGGCTCTAGCTTAGGGGAAAGAATATCTCACCATTTTCTGCTGTATTTTCTCTCTCTCTCTCTCTCTCTCTCTCTCCCTCTCTCTCTCTCACCCACTTCTCTATTTTAAATAAATAGTAATGGTCAAGGAGGCAAATCCATCTGTCTACAGAAATGGCCAAGGGATCAGCTCACAGTTTCCATAATGCTTTGACAACTTAAAGTACTTTTTGCTCAACAACCTTGTGAGATGGTTCCTGTAGGTAGCATTACCACCGCCATCACTCTATTGTATGGAGAAGAATGAGTCAAGTGCCTTCCCCAGGGCTTCATGGGAAAGCAGGAGGCAGAGTCAAGACTCAAGCCCAGTCTTCTGGCCCTAAATTCATTCCCTGTCCACTTCATAACCCTGCCCCTTCATCCTTTGGTGTTTCCACTTCTCCTATTTCTAATGGAGCATACCCTTTCTCATTCCCTAGGCTATCCTCTGAGCTGTCATGAAACGATGCCTGGAAAGGTCTTTCGGCCCCCTTAGATAA